CCAATTCACAATGGCCATGCATAATAATCTTTTACAATAAATGGACCGAATCCGCCGTTCATATATTGCTACATTCTGCAACGGGCGCTCTCGGGCACGATTCCGATTACTTTGGCGGAGGGGTAAAAAACCCGRATTTCCTTATAAATGGTGTATGTCCGGATAGGGGAACTTCTCCAGAGGAGGTATATCCCAAAATAATATAAAAATTACTTATATTTTTTAATATTTTCACGATTAAAAGTTTAAAAATATGCACTAATAACACAAGGTATCTATCTTCCATTAAATTTATTCACGTTTTTCACTCTGTATATTTAACTCTAAAATCACTGAAATAAGTTCACATTTTAATTTTATTTTGTAATATTTCACGTAAATTTATTAATTTAAAAATCATTTAGCGAACTCGGCGTTGCAAAGGTTAGATTGTTTACAATTATGAGGAAAACGAGCATTGCCACATCTTAAACACCAAATATGTAGGATTCTTAACAATTTTTCTTTGTTTGTTATTTTGCGTGATTCTTTTTTCTATATTAATTATAATAAAAAATACTTTCTAACATTTTTTAAGTTATAATTGAGTTGTGAAAACTTTTTCCACATATAATACATTTTACATATAGTATGTGTATGTTTAATATGTGATTTAAATTTAATAAACACATATAATTAAAACTCTATGATAATATAGTATTATAAAATTTATATAATATCATGTCGGGATGACTGAAGTACTTTCGCGGAGTACTCCATTCTGCGTTGGAGGCCTTCGGCCGCGCTTTAAAAAAATAACCCTGGCCGAGCGAATACCCGGGGGGACTGAAGTACTTTTGCGTAATACTCCTTTCTGCGTTAAAAATAAAAAAATATATTGAGTTTTTGTTATAAAGTGGTGAAAGTGGTGAAAGTGGTTATATTTGTTGGTTACCATGCACTCATATTGAAATAAAATTTGAATTTTCTTTATAAAAAGGAAAAATTTAGTTATTATATCTGTTAGCGATTTCCATTTATTTTTGATTATACATTGTTTTGTATTTTAGGGGACGATACATCAATTTTTATATTTAAAATATGAGTTTCGGATATAAAGTGGTTATATTTGTTGGTTACCATGCACTCATATTGAAATAAAATTTAAATTTTCATTATAAAATGGATAAAATTTAGTTATTATATGTGTCAGCGATTTCCATTTATTTTTGATTATACATTGTTTTGTATTTTAGGGGACGATACATCAATTTTTATATTTAATACATGAGTTTTGTACTGTACTAATATTTTTTATTTTTTTATTTTAATTTTGTTAAAGCTTACATAATAAACAAATTATTAAATAAACTAAAGTAAGCAGCGCTAGCATCAAAGGCTTTCGGCTGACTGTACTAATATACTTTACACTTTATTACGTAATATTATTATATAATATTACTTATACAGATGTATATACAATATTATTATCAGCCCTATCACGCAATCCATCGTAGACTGTTATTGCGGAAAAGTTACGAAACTGCTATCATGCAATTCGAACAGTTCCGAAAGTAAGTTCGAAATTCGTAGAGTTGCATTCACTGAATTCACTCGGATCGGAAAATTTTTAAGTTTATCGGAATTTTTGTACGACAGGCTTGTGCTAACGGAGAAATAAATTTAAAAAAAGAAAAATGTAAGTTTTAATTGAATTCAAACTATAACATAATTTTTGTCATTAAAATAATATTTAATGCGATTTCCGCAGGTCCAAAGTAATTACCACCAAGCAACAATATGCACTAATGGTTGAGCTGTTACAGCAAAAACCTGAAATGGCGCAGGGTTTTACCAAGTACCCTAATACTATGTTCGGACCGGCAACGAAAACATGTTTTCGTGGCAAGAACTGGTTTTCGCACGAAAACTTGTGTTTTCGTCCATGTAAAATCTGTCAAACGAAAACACAGTTTTCGCTGAAAACTACTTGAAAACTTACATTCCACTCATAATAATCGGTGCCTGCTCTAGTTTAATCGATGTTTTTGGAAGACATGTTTTGCCGGCCCTAAATTGTCACTTGATATTAGTTTATATTCCACATACAAATACAGCTGTCGCTTGATATTCTCATATGAGGGGGATTCTCTTGCTCTTGCAAAACCTTGCACCGTGCAGAAATTGCAGAATTTTCTSTTTGGTGCAATGGCATAACAACAAACACGCGCAGAAAATTGATTGCAATGGCTGTAAAATATTTCAGACCAAAACCCATGTTTATTTTCCCGCCAGCAAATATCACTAGATTCTGCAATGGGTGCTCTCTTGGCTTTGCATATTTCGGTAAAGGATTTTTGYATTTTGTGTCATCGTGCAATCTTGCAAGAGTAAGAGAATACCGCTTTTAATCAGTGAAATGTTAT